AGCGCCACGAGTCCCGGCGTGCCGGCGATGTAGAAGAACTTTTCCATGTTCTTTAGTCGCGGCTGCTGGTCGTTGTCCGCCTGCGCACGCGAGCAGACAATTCGTCGTGTGGGCACACACGCCACACCACACCACACCGCGAGCGCAGGGCGGTACCTTAGCCACTACGTTCTTCATATCACGATCGTCGATGCTTAGTTTGGGCACTGACCGGCGGATGCCGCCTGAGTGTGCCGGCTCGGGCGTGTTGCGCTTGGAGCTGCTGCCCGTTGGTGACGTCAGCGGCTTCAAGAGTAGATCGCCCTTGCGCGCAATGACGCTGGTGGGCGACTTCTTGGTGGTTACTGCTGCTGCTGGTGGTGGTCGATAGGGAAACGATGCAGGACCCGCAGCAGCCAGATTGCACTCGGCCGCTTGCATGGCGAGGAACAGCTCCTCCGACGTCTTGTTGAGCGCCGCCAGCACCTTCTTCCTCAAATCGCTTTGTGCTGTGCGGTGGTGAGTGAGCACACGCACACGCCACGCACACGCACACGCACACGCACACGCACACGCACACGCACAACGCGCAGGACACACACGATACGGGCGTGTACCAGAACGTGGGGTGGTGGGGTCGCTGACTGATAAGTTGATGCCACTCCTTCTGGGATCGACGGTGCGAGGGGACGGCAGGCGCGTCGATCCGACGAGGGAGATGGAGGTGATCGGTTGACTCAGCGTCATGGACACCGTGGACATGGCCCCGCTGTTTGTGGTGACAAAGATGTCGTCCAGATTGGGGCCAAACATGGATGTGAGCTTGTTCTCCACTTCAGCGAGCTGCTCCCAGGTCAATGGTGGCAGACGTTGATTGAGAGTGGACAGAGGGATGCGAGTAACGCTCTTCCTCGCTGGAAGGGCGAACTCAACTGAGTTTTCCATCAGCAGCCTTGAATTCAATTGCTCGAATTGAATTATTTGATGCCAGGCTGGACGCTCCAACACTTTGGTTTGGTCTTGTAGCCCATACTGGCACGCCAGGACTTCATCCACTGTTTTTGGAGATGGACACGCTCATCCATCAAAGCTATTTTCTTTTCCTTTTCTCTGCTCCTTTTCCTCACGCATTTTTTTCTCATTTCAATCGACAAAGATGGAGGCTGCAGCAACACCAGCGGTTGCCGAGCAGCAGGACAGGGTGAGGGGCGCGCTCTATGGCCTGGCAGCTGGCGACAAGAACGGCGGCCCCATTCATATCCTCCTCCTTTCCCATTTCTTCCCCTTTCTACAACGTTATTGAACAAAATAATTATTTTGTTTTATTTATTTATGTGTCTTGTACGAGGTTGCACCCCTTGACTCTGCAGGCAAGCATGGCCGTCCGCCTGGCCGAGTCGCTGCGCGACCAGGGCAAGTTCGACCGCGACGACGTCGTACGCCGATATACCAACTGGCACATGGGACCACCTCACGACACAGGTGCGTGTTTGCCATGTCCGCACTGCTCAGGAGCACTTGAAGATTCACCCCAGACGCCTCCTTTGCGGAGCAGAGACGGCCTACGATACGGGTCTCACGTTTGCGACGGTCTTCCGGGCGCTGAAGAGCGGTAAGAGCGTGGAGGAGGCGACCCAGCTGGTCGCGCACAGCGCCGGGTGCAATGCGGCGCATCGCTGCCCGCCGCTCGCCATGGCCGCCTTCATCGCCGACGACGACCTTGTTCAGACCACCATGAGCGAAACGAAGATCACACACGTGCACCAGCTGGCGGTCGAGTCGGCAGTCGCGTCGAGCCGTATCTGCCGTGAGCTCATCCAAGGCTCGACCTGGGACAACGCCATCAGCAAAGTATGCCTAAGGCACTCCTTTGCTACAATGAATGTTTGTGTGTACTCACGCATCCCTCCTGTTGTAGACCAGGGAGCTGCTGAAGAGCATGAATGCCTCGCACGAAGTGCTCACGGCGCTCAATCCGGCCAACACCGAACGCTGCAGCCTAGACAGAGGAGGCACGAGCGAGTGGTCAGCAATTCTGAGCGTCATCTTGAGTCTCGTCGCTGACCATTGATGTGTGTACCCCAATAGGCTTTGCTCCCGATGTGCTGCGAACGGCACTGTACTTTGTGGAGAATAGTCGGGACTTCAACAGCGCCCTGGACCCATCACTCACCTTTGCGGGCTCAGCCAACTATTGCCCCGTCATCGTAGGAGCTCTGGCTGGTACGGTGACTTGAACCATCGATGCAGTTATGATTTGCTCCTTATTCACTTAGACGTCGTGCGTGGACTTTCAAAAGGCGCGCGCTACGGTCGCTCGGCGATCCACGAGGCACACTTCACGTCGAACCGCGAACTCAGTCCTGCATTGTTGACGCGCCTGGGCTCAGTGGTCGACAGCCTGGCCGCGGGTTGGTCCGCGCCTGCTGCCGATCCGGCTGAGTGATCCAAGTTTCGGAAACGCTTTGCGAATCGAAACGAATTTGAAACAAAAAAGGCCTCGTCGAATCGAGTAGCGCGCGGCTTTGCCAAGTAGAGGCTCCATGATGCAGAGGTCAGGCAAGGAGGAAGGAGGGGTGCATGAGGAAGGAGAGTTGGTGGATGATGCAGGAGGTGGTCAGTCGTGGGAAAAGTTGCTGGCTGACCTGTGCCTCCAGAAGGAAGTGACAAACTTCGAGGCCTCGCTACTTGATGCGGTCATGAAAGAACGTAGACCTCTGCTCCGTGCGGCCATCGTGACCAAGGCAGACTCCTCCGAGTGGATCGGTACAGAACCCTCCATTCAACCTCTTCTCGTGCCGTCTACTGACTTCATCCTACTCACCAGTTCAACTCGGTCTGAGCTCTCTGGTAGAGAATCAGTACCTCGGAGCTAAGCAGCTTCCTGTGCCCTCGCCCAGCGACGACACCATCCTCTACATCCCCGGCCCCAAGCTCATCGAACGTATACGTCAGGCAGAATCCTCTCTCTCCAACCACGAGAAGGCCCTTCTCATCATCCAGCGTCGGGTACGCCCTCACTACTTGCTGAAGCTGGCCTCTGCCGAACCTGAAGCCTCCTCTTGAACAGACCGAATGGTTTCGTCGTGAGAGGGATCGCGTCGTGTTGGCCAGGTGGGAGGCGAGCCAGAACGGGAGCTCGACCACCCCGCACATAGACGAAGCTTCCAACCGCAACGATAAGCCCTCGGCTGCTCCACCGTACGTCGACCAACACCTTCTTGAGAAGCGATATGCTACGCCCGCTAAAGAGGATGGTGTGATGGTGCTGCGCGCGTACAGGATGAAGCGGGCGAGAACGGAGGTGGATGCGGTGCATAGGAAGGAGCTGGCGGCTCTGCAGCAGCAGAAGATCCGCGCCCTCCACGCCTACAACGAAGCCAAGGACCGAGCCCACCAGGCGCTGGGCGCTCTGGCCGAGGGCGCCAACTGCACCGTCAAGGATCTCTATCGCGAGTTCGGCATCAACGAACGAGACCCCACCCTCTTCCTATGAAGAAAACGAACGTAGTCGTCGTCGTCTGTCTGTCTGATCTCGTAATAAATAAAGGGGTGTAAATCAAGCACAAACCAGGGGGGCGAAGAGGGAGAAAGAGGGAGAAGAGGAAGAAGGAAGAGTCGGTTACTGCCAGGCTTCTCGAAGCTTCTTGCTGGCGACGAGGAACGACGTGACCACCGTCAACACCACCACGGCGATTACCGTGGCCAGCAGCGGGTAGTACTCAAAGTCCTGTAAAATTCAACCCGTCAGGGGATGAAGTGAAGAGAAGAGAGAAGAGAGAAGGGAAGAGAGGGAAGAGAGCGGAGATGGTACCTCGTTCAACATGTCGAAGGCGCCCGACGGTGTCACACGCGTGTAGAACAGGTCCACGCCCCACGCGAACACGAGGGAGGTCGACTCCAGGTAGGTCGGCGCCGTCTGGATTCCTCGCAGCCCGAATATCTGTTTATTGTGTTGTGTTGTGTGTGCCGTGTGTGTGTGTCGCGTTCAGCCTCACTGTACTATGGAAACGGCAAGAGGAAAAGGAGAAGGAACACGTACGGTGTTGTTCTGATTCAAAATGTCGGAGGCGCGGTAGAGCAACTCGGGCATGTAGGGAATGACCTGCGCGCGAGGTAGCGTGAGGCGGCGAGCAAAGAAGAAAAAGAATGGAAGGTATGAGCGTACGCCTTCGTTCTTGTCGTCATCGGTGAGCAACTCCTTGGGCTTCCGGCGGAAGTCCACGAATCGCTTGTCGATGCCGAGGAGTCGGTCCGAGCTCATTCCCACTGAGCGAACAGCACACACACACACACACACACACACACACACACACACACACACACACACACACACACACACACACACACACACCAGTGTAAGTAGCCGCCGCACAGATGGCAGCAAAACACATCAAGAAGAGAAGAGTTGGGATTACCCATGATCTGCTTCTGGGTGAGACCGCGGGCGGTGTTGGTGGTGGCCATGGCCTTGATACCACTGTTGAAGACATACGATTGGGACGCCACCTATAAAACAGGAGATCATGATGTGCTGACGTCAGCACCAAGCCGGCCCGCACCTGACGACGCCTGTGGGAGAGGAAGTAACAAACCTGAGGCAGCGGAGCGGTGCGGGCGGAAAAGGTGGTCTCCTTCCAGTTCATCTGCGGCTCGAAGAGGTCGAGCACGCTCATCTCGAATCTGTGCAGCTTCCTGTTCCACAGGTGGTACACCACCCAGTTGTCGCCTTGCACCAGGTTCACGGGACCCTGTTAACAATTCAACGTTTTGTATAAGTTTCATTGTTTCGTTAATGGCACACACGCAAGCGCGACACCACACACGCCGCATTTCACCCACAGGGTTCTGAGTGAAACGTAAGGGTACCTGGGCGTTCTTGTGGTAGGTGTGGAAGACAACGGCGCCGGTGACGGTATCAATGAGGTAGATGCCAACCGTCGTTTCGAGCACACGCTTGTTGGTAGACGAGACGAAGGTGTTCGACGACGATGTGGCAACCTGGCAGCAAAAGAAGCGCAATGTGAGTATACATAAATGAGACTTGCGCATGTATAACTCGATCATGATGGGGCACACGTACGGCCAGGAGGTTCTTGTTGAGGTACTTGGGCGTGACAGAGTTGTCTCCGCGGATGAGCACGGGCAGACCCACGCTCAAGCTTCGCGAGGGCGCAATGGCCTCCACAACCTGGACCAAAGTGGTCGGGTCAGTACAGCAGTTCACCCCCGCAAACGCACAGGTGCGGGGCGGGCGCTCGAGCAGTACCTCGCTGGACGACGAAAAGTAGACGTTCCAGAGGAGCGTCATGGGCTTGGTGATGTCGCCGTCAATGCCGTAGCCCTCGACGCTGGCCTTCTCCTTATCGACCAGGTAGATGTGGATCTTGTCTGCATTCGCAGCCACCAGGTTCCTGTGCGTGAAATGTGGTATGTTGTGAGTCTCTCAACCCCAGGCCTTCGAAGCCAAAGGTCTGGAAGGTGCAAAGATGAAGGGCCAGCGAACCGGTTCTCCTGGGTGTCGGGAACGATGTGACCCTGGTTGGCGGCATCGAGCACGAGAACCGGGTGGCGGAAGGTCGAGTCCGTGTAGGGCAGCACGACCGACTGCTTGACGGCGTGGTCGAGCGTCGTGGCGTCCTCCACCTCCTCGCCCGTCAGCAGATTCACCTGCAGAATGCGGCCAGCTCCACTCGTACTGTGCTCGCCAAGCACCACAGTGTGAGCTTCATAGGTGGGCAATGTTTGCTATTATGGTGAGGTGAGGTGAGATGAGCGTACGTATCACGGGCAACGATGACGCCGATGGGCGGAGGGTGGGACGACGAGCGGGACAGGAAGAGGCTCAGGGGCGTGGAGTCGCGAACGAACTTGGACCAGGCGATCGAGCCGTCGGTCGAGTGGAGCGCGTAGACCTTGCCCGACTGCGTGGTGACGACCACCAGCTTGCGCAGGCCGAACCTGTCCTTGGTGAGCGCCTCGTCGTTCTCGCCCTGGTGACCCTCTCCGGCACCGTCCTTCTTCTCACCGAGAACGCCCAGCAGAGTCTACACGCGACACAAAAAATCAACAAAAAAGAATAAGCAAAGTGGGAAGAAGGGCGAGCAGAGTAGAGTACCAGCAGCTGATGAGCATCGGCGCTGATCCTCTTGAGGAAGTCACCGATGATGGGCACGCTCACGACTGTCCGTGCAAGAAGAAAGAAAAGGTAAGACAAGAGTGCCGGACATGACTGTGCAAGACTTCAACGGTAAGTTTTCGGGTGGCGCTTACCGGTATCCTCGTTTCCGAATTCCTTCTGCAGCGCCTCGCGCAGAGCCAGCGGGGCGGGGAGCTCGATTATCTCGGCTTGCGCGATTCCGGCCAAGGCCTCCTCACGCGTCCACAGGAACTTGGGGGGAAGAAAGGAAAAAATTAGCTTCAGGTATCAAGCAAACGCAAATGGTACCAACGGTTACCTTGTCGCCGGAGGCGAGAGAGAGCGAGTGGTCCTGGCTGACCACCAGCACTCGGAACTGCAAGGAACCGTCCTTCTTGGGAATCACGTTGGGGAAAACCTGCCCAGTACAGAAAGGCAAGCGGGAAGGTTAGCCGCTCTCGGTGGCGGCTCAAGCTTATGGCAACAGCAATGAGCCAGATTGGTTTGTTGTTACCTTGCGCACGGAGCCGTGGTCGGCGGTGGTGATGGACTCGTCGTTGATGACGTGAACGACCTTCCTGGCGTCACAATCGATGATATCGATCGTGATGCCAGCCTGTAAACAAACAAACAAACATTCAACAAATGGAGAGATGATCAAGGTGCAACGAAAGCAAGTTCCGTCATCAGGCCTGACGTCGTACCTCGGTGGTGCTCGCGGCAGCGAGATACGTCACCTCCATGTCCTCAAGACCGCCCTCATAGCCGGGCCTCTTCTCAACGCGAACGAACGAGCCATAGGTACGCGGGGTCTGCTTATGTGGCAACAAACATATCATCCGCACACAAGCCATTGCATCAATAATTATTGAGGAGCTCGAGCATGTGTGTTGGAGCCAGAGATACAAATAAAGGGGTTACCTTTTCCTTGGGGTATTGGTGAACCGTTCCCATGGCGAGGCCCTTGATGCCATAGATGATGTCGCGCTGGACACGAAAAGAGGTGGAGAGACGACGTCAGATATCCTACGACACCTTGACTCAGAGCCCAAACCATTACGTACGTTGGACACGCGGACGATGAGACCGCTGGGGTAGCCGATGATCGACTTGGGACCCTCGAGCTCTTCAGCTTCGAAGCCGCCCTGGTCGGTGGCATAATAAGGCATGAGCTTAGCTTTCACACGAGAAGGAAACCAGAGCAAGAGAGACTGTGGTGTGAGGAGGACCAAGTACCGTGTAGGGGAACCTCTTGAACTCGAGGCCGAAAGGGTGAAGCGGATCGATGCCGGCATGCCACAGGTCCTTCCCGTTGGCATCGAAGCAGAAGAGGATGCTCGCACTGCCCACCCACACGCAGTCTACGCACACATTGCACATCAGCGTCGTTTCAAAGGCCAGATAGAATAGAGGGCACGTTGCGTTCGGTACCAGAGAGCTTGCCGAGCTTGGCGGTCGCAGGGAGGGACACGGGGAAGGGTCCGTCTTCGCTAGTCGGCTTTCCGGTGGCGGGGTCAAGCAGCGCCACAAAGTACTCGCTTCCATTCTCCTTCTCGGTGGTGCCCAGCACGACCAGGCTAACGCTACGCTTAACGCGAGCTATGTAGGCCTGGTGCACCTTGCCATCACTTGCAAGAACATCAAGTGAGCGCAACGTTACGACCAAACGCCGTTGTGCGCAACGCAATGGATGACGTACTTGGGAGCGGTCCAAGACCACAACGTGACGCCACCTTTGCCAGACAAGAGGTGAACCCTGCACACACGAGCGAGTCAGGTTTTGAAATCGGTGTCGGTGCTTCGCTCAGAAGGAGGGCAGGACGCACCGATCGTAGATAGCGACGAGGAGATCATCCGCCCGATCGTTGTTGAGGTCCTAGAGAAACACACATACAGCTGCGCATGAGCGACAAGCCAAGTAGAACAATAACGCACGTTATATGGCAGTGGACGACAACCTTGATGAACTTGGCCGACACGAGGATGTCCTTGTCCTGCTGCATAGCGGCGAGCTTCTCGTCGGTCATGTCAGCGAAGGAGTAGAGATCCTGGCTCCACAACAGCGAACCATCGACCACGTTCCACAGCGATGCATGCTTGCCGTTGCCGCTCACAGTGAACACAACTGGTGACGATGCACCAACAGTTCAGTGACGGTGCCACGGCAAGAGAGGAGACTGAGCCTAAGCGTACCGTGACCGTCTTCGCTTGTCACAAAGACTTCGGCGGCCTCATTGTTGGGCAGGAGGTTCCTCCATGCTTTTGAGGCATCACGTAGTGAGTCTACAAGCGCCTGTGCAAATGAAATGTACAAAGAGAGATCTTTTGGCCTTTACCGATTTTGTTGTTGCGCAGATTGAGAGAGGTGATGATGCCAGCCTCGGTGGATAGAATAGCGGTCTTGGATGTTCCTGCCGGGAAGTGGGCATCTTGCACCAAGCCGATGTTCTGCTCGTACCTGCACCGCGCTGCAACATCAGCAAATGGCGTAAGGAGTGATCTCTGCGATTAGGTAGCGTACCATTTAAAATTGGCGGCCTGATCTTGGAAAATGGCCTGCGCGCCGACTGATGTCGAAGCAACACATACTGCTAGCAGAACAGCAAGTAGACTAACGTAAAGAATGGAAGGCGATCGGAGGCGCCCTGCCCCTGCGTGCTCTCCCATCTTGTAAAATCTTGCTCAACTCGAGACCGAAGGGAAAAGCAGAAGAAAAGGCGCAGGGAAAATAGGACTAAGCAGAGCGACGAGAGCAAGATGGAGGGGCTACGGCGGTACCTCGAGTCGTCGCAGTTGGCCGATGTAGAAGTGGAGGCCGACGGTCGCCTTTTCCCTGCTCACCGCATCGTCTTGGCCCGCCACTCTCTGCTGTTGCGGCAACTCTTCCAGAATCTGCACGACTCACCCCATTTCGCTCTGCCGCATCGCCTCATCGTTCGATCTGAGAAAGGAGAACACACGACTGAATGGACGAAGGGTCGTGACGACGTCATGGAGGGTGCCAACAAGATCGAAGTCGTTCTGCCGCCGGGGGCATGGCCGTTGGTGGCGTCGTTCATGTACCAAGGCTCCGTTCTGCTGCACCCCAACAACGTCCTGCCCCTCTTCGACAGTGCTGCTCGCCTGCAGGCACGCTCACCACTCATCACCTCACCACCGAATGGAGAACTCTGACGACCTGTGCGTGTGCGTGTGCGTGTGCGTGTGCGTGTGCGTGTGCGTGTGCGTGTGCTGTGCGTGTGCACGCACCGTACAACAGATTCCTGGTCTGCACGCGCAGTGCAAGGTCTTTCTCATGACCGGCATGGGTGAGCGTGACATCTTGGGGCTCGCTGCTTCCGCAGGTCTATCGGGCCTCGCCGCTGCCGAAGGTGCTTGCTCGCTTGCACCTCGTCCACCGCCTCGTAGTACACTCCTCTGCGGCAAACTGACCGAGATTCGTTCGTTCGTTTTCATCAAGAGCACTGCCTGGCCCGCATTGCGCACGATCTGCCGACGCTGGTGCGGGCCGACGTCGAAGGGTTTGCCCGGCTCGCGCCAGCCCAGCTGGTCAAGCTCTACCGCCGGTCCGATCTCAACACAGAGGGCAACGAATACCTCCTGTGGCACATTCTGGCCCGATGGACCCAAGCCAATCTCCCACCGTCGCTCGCCCTTGGTGACCTGCGCCACCACCGCGGAGTGGATGCCGGCGCTGAGCAAGTGGTCGAGAACGAAGATGAAGATAAAGGGGAGGTGAGCGAAGTGCACGAGTTCATGCGGGAGGCGCTGGGTATGATCAGGTTCGCACTGTTCACGACGCCGCAGCTGGTCGAGGTCCAGAAGAGTGCCCTCGCCGTCCGACTGCTGCCCGAGGGCTACTTCCTGCGGGTCTACGCCCACAAGCTCGAACTACAGCAATTTCCCACCACGACGCCCAGCACCGCGACCGCGTCGGCCGAGTTTATGCCGCGCACGCCACCGCCGGCCGGGCCGCATGACAGCAACAAGACGGTGGTCATCGGGCAGGTCATCACGGGCGCCATGGACCAGTCGTTCCTGTGGCGGATACACCAGGTGAGGGAGACACTCGGCCTGGACGATCTCCTGAGCACGGCGACTCGCACGTTCAGAAGCCCCTCGTTCGCGCTCGACGGGTCAAAGAGGTACGACCGAGCCGCCACGCTGCTGTGTGTGCGATCTATGCGTAGCGTGCTCACCGTGCGAGGGCGTTGCTCAACAACAGGCAGTTCGTGCTCAGTTACAATGCCATGGAGCGCAGTCTCAGATTGTATGTTGCGCGATCCCGTGCAGTCAGCGATGGCATCCGCGGTATGCACTGGCAGCCGTCATCTTCGTCGTCATTAGAGTAGGGCTCACTCCACTCCCCTAATTATTTCAGGCGACGCACAGCTTCCGGAGCTGGTGGACGACAGCGATTTCCCAAGTGGCCGGAGAACGACGACGCATTACGTTGCGGTGGTGCATCCCCAGAGCTCACACGACTCGATCACTCAGGAGGTGACGCCCCAATCGGCCGCCCTGCGGGTCGCGCTGGTCGACCTGACTAGCCAGGGCTTTCTCGGGCGCGCCTCGGAGGACAGCAGCAGCGACCTCCTGCTCGTTCGGCTCCTCTCTGTTTCACTGCCTTCACGGTCGGCGCCTGCTTCGCATCTCACCAACGCCATCAACGAGGAGGGCGAGGACGTCGCTGTCGACACAAACCAGCACGCCGGCGACCAACTGCTGGCCCAGAAGGAGGAGAACGGCCAGGGCGAGTCGATGATCGACTTCATGCACTTCTTTAACAGCGGAAAGCTTGCTGACGTCACCCTCCGGCTGGTCGACGAAAACGATGGCGAAAACGAAGATGAAAACGAAAACGAAGGCAAAAGCGAAAGCGAAGGCAAAGTCCAGGGCCGGGTGGTGGTCAAGGAGGTGAAGGCGCATCGATTGCTGCTGTGCTGCGGTTCGGACTACTTCGATTCGATGTTCGGATCCCCGTGGAGCGAAGCGCTTACGAACGAGGTGTGCATTCCACTCGCTTCGGGCGATGACGACAGCCACCCTACCGGCGTACAGCTTCTCGAGAAGGGCGAGGTGGGCATGTTCACCGAAATGATCGCCTCCTTCTACGGCAAGACCATCACGCCCGACGAAAGCAACGTGCTGCCGCTGCTCAAGATATCGCTTCGATTTCTGGCGCACGCACTTTCCGAAAGGTTCGTTCGTGGCTGCGTCAAGCCCTACACACACCATTCGTACAACGGCGCACTAGTGGCCGTCGTTCTTATTCTGTCTTTGTCGCCCGCAGTTGCTTGGCCTGGCTTAAGGAGGCAGCTGACGTAGAACAGCTGTTCTCGCTCTTGTTGAGGGCCAATCACCTCAACCTCCCGCAAGCCCAAGGTACCGGCACACCACACTCGACCACTCACTATACAGTGATTGCTCGCAAGGCTTTGGCTTCCAGGCGATGACCGAGTACGTGGCTGCTGCGCGCTTAGATTGCTTGATGAACAGACTCGCGAGCGAGTTTGGCGGGATGGTGCACCGTGGGCAGATGCACCTCTTCGAGCAGCTGCCCTACGAACAGATTGTCGAGTTGACCCAACGCGACCAGCTCTACACCCTCAGCGAATACCAGGTGTGGTTGGTCATGTCGCACTATATCAACACGCACGGACAGGAACTACACGAGTCCGAGGTGGCCTATCTGCTCCGTATGGTCCGCTATCCTCTGCTCACGTCCGTCGAGATCCTTCAGGTAATCAACAGACACGACACACGACACGATACACGACACACGACACACGACACACGACACTGAGTTGCTTCTAACGTAACGTACTGCGCAGGTGGCACAAAACAAACTTGTGTCGAGGGACCACATACAGGCGGCGCTAGCGTTCCGCCTGGCGCACCACGAGCCCCTTCCTTCGTCCGATGTGGCCTACGGTCAGGGGTACGATTTCTCTCCGTCAGCACTGGACCAAGCGCTGCCTCACCGCCTCGCACGACACACACGACATAGGGCCACGAGACCGCGTTCGAGGGACGGCCTGTGGTGCTTCACGATTCCCGGTATCGAGCGGTTGCTGGACGCCGAGAAGCGGCGCAAGATTCAGCGCAAGGAGCACAAGCGGCTCGAGGAGAAGGCCCGCAACCCGGCCCTCATCAACGTCTACTACTCGACGCCGACGTCGTCGTCAAATATCAGCACCAACTCGCCCAGCAGTCGGCAGAGCAAAGCCAAGCGCTCGGCGGGCGGCGCAAACAGTGTACAGAGCTCCGAAGCGTTCGTCGACCGCGAAGGCTGCAGCTGGACGCTACGCCTGGTCCCCGAGTTCAGGCAGGGCCAACAGTTCGTCTCGCTGGAGATCGAGTTCTACCCGCCGGCCAGCACAGCGCACCACCTGCTCAGTCGTCACCGCACCGGCGCCCAACCTTCGGGTACGTAGCAGCCCTTTGGGCGCCTTTGGCTTTCCATTCCTCACTCCAGTGCTGCGCGCGTGCTCGTGCGTGTGCGTGTGCGGATGATGATGATTATGGTGATGATGATGATGATGTCAGGTCGGATCGAGGAGGCCCAGCTGTCGGCGTCGAGCCTGGCAGCGAGGTTCGGCATGGTGTTCGCGGGTCGTGTCATCCTCCAATTCATCACCCAGTCTCCATTCCAGCCGATCAAGCGAGGTACCGTCGCACGCGTCGCTCGCGTGTGTCAACGGATCCCGACACCTCATGTGTTTGGTTTCACGTGGTTGTGTTGTGTGGTGTGTGTGTGTGTGTGTGTGCAGAGTTCCCCATTCGCGTTCCGTTATCCCAACAAGCGGGTGGCCTACACGCAGCTCTTCACAATAGGCGATCTGCGCTCGCTGCGCTTGATCGACGACGCGGTCGCCTATCCTGGTCGCGACGCGCTCACTATCCAATTCGAGGTGCGGCTGGACCCTCGCAGGTCCCAGCCCAGCAGCTTCGAACGGCTCGTCACGGCGCGCTTCCGGCATCAGCCGCCTCGGCGCAGCGACGACGGTGCGGGCAGTCAGTACCAGCATGAGCCAGCGGCGGCCGAGGAGGCCGAGTTTCTATGCGAGGTGGTCGACAAGACCCAGCTGCCCGCGGTGCTGGCGGGCTACGGCGTGCTGCCCGACGGTCGCGGGCTGGTGGTGGTGGTGGGCGGCCGCGAGCGGCGCGACGCCCACGTCGACTCCCTCCAGATCCGGGGCGCCAAGACCGAGGTCGACGTCGTGCTCGTGGACAGTAGGAAGCGGGTCGTCGCCATCGAGCACCGCCTAGTGTTCGCCACCATCAGCGCCAACGCCAACCACGCGTGCTACGTGCTCGTCGTCAACACTCGAGACCGGGCGAAGCTCCTGCCTCACCTCGCACCCTGCGACACCGCCGACGTTGATTGCTAAGGTGTTGTTGTATTTTACTTCCAAGCACCAAGTTTATGTACAAGGCAAGAGGCAAGAAGGGTGAACATGGACCCTCCAAGGACGCGACATGATCACTGCCTTCGAGCTCTGACGACGGCCGAGACGAAGGTTCAATTCAAAGTTCGCTTTGCTGGACCTCGGCAAACTGCATCGAGAGCCACAGGCTGAAGCGCTCGGGCGGGATCGCGCTCTGCTTGGCCTGCTCCCACAGTGCGTGGACGTCCTTGTTCGACGGCTTGCCCATCAGCGAGCTGCTGAGCTTAAGGGCCAGTGCCAGCGTGAAGAACAACCTGTGATGGTGGTTCAAAAAAAAAGGAAAATGCGGACGTCAGCCGCTACGCAGCTCAAGTTGATGACGTTGATGGTGACGATGGTGGTGACAAGAGGTGTACGTACTCGCGCTGGAGCTGGTCGACTGGGAGACGAGGTTCTCGTTCTCCTTCTTCTGCACCTCGATCTGGAGGGCAAAGGCATCCTTGACGGCGGTGAGGGTGGCCAGCTGCTGCGTGGCCTCCCTGCTCTCCTTGATCTCCTTCATCTCGCCGTGCACCTCCTCGACCTCGTGCAGAAGCGCGGCGTTGGCCTCCTGGGTCTCCTGCAGCTGGGCCTCGACCCGCCGCACACGTTCGCGCTCCTCGTTCAGCTCGCGCTCGTGCTGCTTCTGCTCCTCGGCGATCAGGGCCGCGTGCTGGTGGGCCTGCTCGGCGTGCAGCTTGGCCAGGTGCCGCGACTTGTCCTCCTCCATGGCCTTCTCCTCGCGCGCAGAGCTAAGGTTACGCTCCAGCTCCTCGATCGTCGCATTGAGCTTGTCGATCTTCTCCGACAGCACAGCAACATCACCCTGCAGCTTCTCTGCACACACGACGACGGTAAGCGATGCGCGTGCGCTGATGTTGGTGCTGTGTTGATGAGAGCAAGTAGAGTACCCTTCTCGGTGCGCTCGGCCTTAGTTTCCTGGTCCTTCTTCTTGAGTCGCTGCTGATGGAAGGCAAGCAGTTCTTCGAGCTCCCTCTTCTCTGACTGCAGTCGCTCCACTTCCTCTCGCCTCTGTAGAGATAGATGTGGAAAGTGGTGTGAGTGTAGGCTCTCGCACCTTCAACTGCAACATCTCACATTGGCGAGTGGTAAGGAGATTCAACAAAAAATCTAAGAATTGTGGTCATGATGATGCTAGCGGTTACCTTCTCCAAGGTATGTGAAGCGAAAACAGAGAGCATAAACAAAAACCACCAAGATCCGAACTTCATCTGGGTTTTGCGTTGCGCGAGTTTGATTACCTTCCGAAGCTCGCTTTGTTCGATCTGCGCCGGCGTCAGCTCATCATCTTCTTCCGCCAGAGCGGGAAGGGGAGCGGTGGCTTCCGAAATCGGCTCCTGGGGCACCTCGATCGACGAGGTGTCGGATTCCTTGGTCGATGGCTTGGTCTTCAGCACATCAGTAGTGGCCTTGTTGGCAGCGTTAGGATCATTCTCCTTGTTCTCCTTGTTGGCGTCGTCCTTCAGCGGCAGATTGAAAGGAGCGAGGTCCTTCTTCTTCGATTTGGCGCTCCTGGAAGTAGAGAGATGGATAAGTCAATAGGCTGCCGTGTCTAGCTCCGATCTCTCTGGGATTCCAGTACTAACCTCTTCTTGCCGTCAGCAGGGGGAGTGTGGTCAAGCAGCATCTTGTGGTTCGGGTGGGTGATGCTATGTATGATGAATATGAACCATCAAGGCCGAGTGTTTCGTGGGCCAACGTTCCAATCTCAAACGCTGGCCGTTGCAGATCTTTTCGCGCCAAGTGCAACAGCAACATTCTTTAGATAACGCTATGCGAGAAAAGGAAAATCTGTCAAACTCCTTCAATGCGAACTCCGACCGCCGACCTTTAAAGAATGTCGATCCAGGCAAAGAATGTCGATCCAGGCAAGCTCGATGGGGATTTGTTGGACATGCTTGCAGCGAAATTTCGATCTTCTTAATGAAGTGGAAGAAGCCAACACCAACCGTCCGTCGGGCTGGTCGAAAGGCCGCACCAACCGGTGTGGGCAGATTGCTGGAAGAGATTGGTTCGTCCGCAGTGGTCGAGTTGCGAGAGTGCAAGAGTGGAATAGAAAGTGGAGGGGCGACAACCAGTCTCTTGCGGACAAGGTATGGAGACGAGGGCGAGCCGACGCAGCGGCGCTGTGGCTGCAGCGGCCGAAGCCGAGTGGACGGCCATGCTGGCGGAGCTGGCCGAGTGGAAGGAAGAGAACGGGGGCAGCATGGCCTCGCTAACAGACGAAGATGGAGGAAGCAAGAAAAGGGGCAGCAAGAAGCCAAAAATCTCGAAATTGGGGAGATGGGTGGCCGAGATGAGGAAAGAGAAGAAGGAAGGCAGGCTGTCGAAGGACAAGGAGGACAAGCTCAACGAGATCGGCTTCGAGTGGGGCGGAGGAGAGGAAGGAGAGACGATGGACGCCAGCAAGATTGCGACAGCAGAGGGAGAATCTTCGACCGATAACGTTGCTGATGGAGAAGGAGAGGCCAAAAATCAGAAGAAGCGACGACGCAATCCATCGCGGAATGCAAAGAAACTGCACAACGACTTCATCGAGGAGGCATTCTTTCAAGGAGAGCTCACGCAAGAGGGTGGCGATACGGCGAAATCGCGAGGAGACGCGGATGGGGCGAAGAGGAAGGCGAAGAAGAGGAAGGTCGGCGATCAGCAATGGGAGCAGAAATTCGAAGAGCTCGTTCGATTCAAGGCGCAGTACGGCCATTTCCGCATTCCGGTGAAAGAGATGCCGCTACTTAAGTACTGGGCGCAGAACCAGAAGATCACCTATCGCAAGGGCAAGCTGTCCGAGGAGCGACGGGTCCGCCTCGAATCGGTTGGATTCCACTGGGGAAAGCAGCGCAAGGGCGACACACCACAGAAGGGGAGCGATCGACAAGCCGTCGCGGCCAAGACGCCATCTGCAGCTCACGGGCGGCTGACGTCGGCGAGCGGCGCCAAGGTGGGAGGCGAGGCGGAGGGCGACGGCAGCAGCGGCGACGAGGACGAGGAGTACGAGGACGAGGACGAAGAGCAGCAGGAGGTCGCCACGACCGACACGTCGGCTGCATCGAGCAAGAAGAAGGCTGCCAAGGAAGGCAACGTCACCACTTCCTCTTCTTCCTCTTCCGCTTCACCTTCGTCAACAGCCACCACACCCAGCAACGGTGCCAGCAACGCTGCTGCGCGCGGCGCGGCCAACCCGTCGCCGATGTACGGCCAGCCCAAGCCGAGCATTCTCACAACAGTCGCCACACACAGCAACCCGTCCTACATCCATCCACCCACCACATCGCAGTTCGGCAGCGGCAAGGACCACCGGATGGTACTCTCTCTCTCTCTCTCTGCAAGTGCGGTGTGTGCGTGTGTGTGTGTGTGTGTGTTGTAAGTGCGGTGTGCGGTGTGCGCGTGATACTCTCTGTATAGCGTGGCTATGTCTGGGTCGATGGCTGATTGAAAGATGGTGCAGTATCCGCCGCCACCGTACCCGGGAGGGCCGAGCCGGAGCATGGATGGGCCATCAATGCAGACGGCCGTGGTCGCGGGCAGCAACATGAACGGCCCCGCCGCCCCGATGGTGGATCGATTCCTCACGGTGCGAGAGGCGAGGGAGTACATTTTTTCGCGCATCGAAGTGCTCGAGCGACGACAGGAGGAGACGCACCGACACATGCTCGAGCTGCGGCAGGCGTTCAAGGGCATGGAGCGATTCATCATGCAGCACTTTGCCCGAGAGCGCGAGATGGCCGAGCGGACGCGGAGCATGTGGGCCCCCGCCGCGCAGCCGCTCTACGGCCACGAGACGCAGCCACCATCGATGGCCGCCGGCATCGGCGGCCAGGGGTACTCGGCCTACCCCACAGGCGGGCCCGTAGCCGCGGGCTACCCCTACTATCCGCAGCAGGCGCAGCCACACCCCCAGCAGCAACCGCCGATCGACCCGACGAAGGAGCGCGAGCGGATGGTCAATGCTGGCTACCTGCCGCCGCAGCAGCACCAGCCACACACGGCCCCCTATCCATACTCCTACCCTCCTCCCGCCGGCGTCGGTGCGCCGATGATGATGTCGCGAACTGCCAGCAGCGAGAACCCCTACGCGCGCCACGTCACGTCGCCCTCGCCCAGCAACAACGCGTTCGCTCGGTCTCCTACTGCCGCCGCTGGTCCCACTTCTTCGAGTCCCTCTTCACTCTCCCACCTCAACGCGGCTCTCGGGGCTCTCACGCAGAGTCCTCCACCGACACCAGCAGTTCGTTCCCTCATTATCCACGCACGCACGCACGCACGCACGCACGCACGCACGCACGCACGCGCACGCACAATGCAGCAAATCTGATCGTGCTTGGCGTTTTGTCCAGGCGCCATCTCCGCCGGTGGGCGTTTCATCCCAGAACATGCACGGCGCGCCGCACATGTCGCCCGCGCTCGGACCGAGTGGAGCCTACACCGGCGTACTCCCGCACAGCGCGCACAACCCCTACCAGAGCCTGTCGCCGCACGCCGGCCATCCGCAGGCCCGCTCGCAGCAGCCGCACCACCACGCCCTGCCCCCGCACCACCCCACCTCCACCTCCGCATCGACCATGCCCGCCTCGCACCAGCCCGGCTTCTACCCACCGCCGCACCGGGCGTCGCCCGTCATCGGCTCGCCCATGCCGGGCGGCTGCTCGCCCGAGGCCGTGCAGACGCCCGAGGCCCACGGCCTGCACTTCCCGCGCACCCCGAACGCGCCGTCGGTCACCTCCGTCACGCCCATCCCGCCCTCCATCGTCCACCAGTACCCGCCGCCCGAGGAGGTGGCCCCGACACTCAGCCCGCCGCGGCCGCGCCTGGGCGACTTCACCCTCTCCGGCCTCGACCCCGTCGGCGCCGCCTTCCCCTTTCTCGACGAGAACGACGAAGACGACGGCAGCGGTGGTGGCGGCGGCGGCACGAGTGCGGTCTCGGGCGCGGCGTTGTCGCGGCTGGACCACCTGCGGCACCACCACGCGGCGGGCGAGGAGGACGGCGGTGCGACGGAGACCGACGAGAATGGCGAGGAACTGCTCAAGCAGCTCGACACGTTCTGCTGATTCTCCCGCCCGAAACAAAAATATATTTATAATCAGGAAAACAAAAACAAAAACAAAAACAAAAACGTATAAAAAGGCGGTGAGACGGGAGCAGCCACGTCCGCGCCATCGAATCGATCAGCTGCTCGTTTAGCTTTTTTCATCCAATCGTTGTCTCGTCTTTCCTCAACCCGAGGACGGTGCACGGTGTTCTCTCTCCCGCTTTGTTAAATCAGATCCAATTAAATTATCGAAGATTAATTTTCTTTTTAAAAATGGCACTCCTAGAGCCGAGATGGATCCGGAATCGGAAGCTCCCCGGCAGCGAGGATGGTTTAGACGCGCCTCTGGCCAGCGGGTACGCTACGATCTTGTTGCATTTGTGGAATCAACTTGATTTGCGTCTGACTCGGCCGTGCAGAAAGTGGTGGAGGGCCTTCCGCTGCCACCGCCGACCATGGAGGACACCTTCCCACAGGAGAACCCCGAGTCGCTGCAAAAGGCGGTGATCGAGTGTCTGGAGGAGGAACTCGAGGCATGCGCACCATCTTCATTTTTTTGCTGTTTATTTTTATTTATAATTATGAAATAATAGGGTTAAAACAATAATGTATAAAATAATAGTAATAATAATTATAACAATGGCAAATTAATAATGCTGCTCAACACGCCCTAATTATTTTATCATGCTTTTTTATCATAATTTTGTCTTTTTCAAAGATATAACTCGCACTTACGTGTGCCCGATCACGACCACCAGGAGAAGAGCAAGGAAATGGAAGCGCTGCGCGCGCTGCTCACCCAGGAGGACGAGAAGGTCAAGGAGGCCGCACGGGTCGCCGAGAAGAAGCAGCGCAAGATGAAGCGCCGCAAGGAGGAGCTCAAGCGCGAGCTCGCCAGGGCCAAGCGCGACAGCGACGAGCGCGAGCGCGACGCCGAGCAGCAGCGCATGGAGCTCGAGGAGAAAGCCACCCGGCTCGAGGCCGCCGTCGCCGAGCGCGACCAGCACTGGCAGCGCGAGCTCGACGGCCTCCGCGAGGAGCGCGATCAAATCGAAGCCCAGCGGCTCCGCATGGAGCGTGAGGCCAAGGACGCGCGCGCCGAACACGAAGCACAGCAGCGCGAGAGCGAGCGGCTGGCGCGCGAGCTGGCGCGGGCCAAGGAGGAGCGCGCCGAGCTGGCCAAGATCAAGCAGGGCGTCGAGGAGCAGCTGATCAAGGTCGTGTCTGAGCAGGAGGGCTCCACCGAGGCCCACAGGGCCACCCACGACGCGCTGCAGGCGCTCGAACAGGGCAAGCAGTGCCTCGAAGCCGAGATCAGTCACCTCAAGGCCGAGCGCGAGGAGGCCGTCGCGGAGCGCAAGGCCGTCGAGGCCGCACTCAAGGCCAAGCTCGAGCGGCGCCAGGCCAAGATCCTGCGCCTGCGCGACGACGCCCGCGAGAAGGAAAAGGAGAAGGAGCGCATGGCCGACGAGCTCCAGCGCGTGCGGGGCGCCAAGGAGGAGGCGCTGAGGGGCATGGTGCAGATGGACAACAAGATGCGCCGGGAGCGCGACGACCGGGAGCGGGAGATCGGCGCGCTCAGGCAGCAGATCAACGCGCTCGAGGAGGCCAACATCAAGCTGGACGACGAGAAGGAGGAGCTGGTCATTGTCATGGGCGAGATGGAGGAGCGGCGCGGCAGGGAGGTGGCCGACCTCGCGGCCGAGATCGAGCGGCAGCGGCAGCGACACGGGAAGCTGGAGAGGGAGAAGGGCGACGTCGAGCGCGAGCTGCTGCGTGTGCGGCGCGAGCGCGAGGAGACCATCCGTGCGCGCGAGGAGATGCGACACGAGCTCGAACGCGCCGAGGAGCGCGCCTACGAACTCGAGGAGCAGCTCGCCGAGGCCGTCGCCCAGCGCGAAGTCTCCTACGTGTCACCGATCGACGACACCACCGTCGACGACACGGAGGCCGACGACCACGATCAGGCGCAGCAGCAGGTGCAGCTGGAGGAGGGAGAGGAAACGCAAGGCGTCGCGCAGGAGCTGAAGCGGGTGAAGGCCGAGAAGGAGGCGCTCGAACAGGAGTGCCTCCGACTGCGCAAGCAGCTCAAGTCGCCGCAGCAGCCCGCCGAAGCCGCCCCCGCTGTCGTGGCCGAAACCGAGACCAAGACGGGCGACGCCGCCGCGACCGCTGCCGTCGCCGTCGAGGAGTCGCTGCTGCGACAGCAGATCAGACAACTCGAGGCCGAGAACGCGGCGCTGAAGGCCGAGCGGGCGAAGGTGAAGAGGGAGACGGAGGAAGTGCTGCGCGCCAATCTGGGCGTCGTGGAGAAGATCAACGACGAGCGCGAGCAGATGGAAGCCGAGCGCGAGCGGGCCAGGAAGGAGGTGGCCAAGGCCAAGGAGGAGCGCGAAGTGATGAAGCGGATGAAGGATGAACGCGAGGAGGCGATGCTGCGAGTCATCGCCGAGAAGGAGCAGGTCGAGCGCGAGAAGCAAATTTTGGCAGAGCAACTGCAGCGGGCGAGTGAGGGCCGATCCACCGAGCAACCAGAAGTTCAGGTGCGGTGTGTTGTCGTGTGTGTGTGTGTTGTCGTGTGTGTGTGTGTGTCGTGCGGCCCAACCTCCATGCAACTAACGCGCCAACAGGTCGGTGATGAGGCCAAGCTGGTGGGAGGGACGGAGCGCGAGGCGGAAGAGTTGGCTACGCTCAAGGCAGAGAGTGAGGAGCTCCAGCGGCGCTGGGCGCAGGAGCTCGAGGGCCTGCGGACTGCGCTCGCGAGCAGGGAGGCCGAGATCGCGCGCCTTGCGGCCGAGAAACAGCAGCTCGAAGCCGAAAACGCAGCGCTGAACGAGATGCGCCAGGCCGACCTGCAGCACATGGACAACACCAAGGTCCAGCTGCTGCGCGACAAGGCCCAGCTCGAGCTGCAGCTCCAGGAGAGCCAGCGTGCGGTCCACGACGCCCTTAAGCTGGTCGACGCCGCGCCCAGCGGTGCGGTGGAAGGCAGCGAGCACCAGCGGCTCGTGGCGGAGAACGCGGAGCTGGTCGGGCAGATCGAAGGCCTCAAGGCGGCGCTGGGTAATGCCGCGTCGGCCAAGGCCGGCGTCGAGGAGGCGCTGCACGCGGCCCAGGCCGAGTTGGCCGAGCACGAGGCGGCCCGGGCAGCGATGGCAGCTCAACTGGAAGCGCTTCAGCGACGAGCCGACGTCGCCGAGCGGAGCGCTGTCGCTGCCCAGCGGGCCACCACCACTGCCGACGTCGTGAAGGTGCCGCGGTGGTCAGAGAGAAGGCGGAGCTCGAGGCCGCGCTGCGTCAAGCCACCGAGGCCGCCGAAGCGCTCAGGCGTGATGTGGCACGGATGGTCGAGCGGCGCGCGCACGACGAGGAGCGCATCGAAAAGGGCAGGGAGGACATCGACCGCCTGGCCAACGAGCTGGTCGAGCTGCGCAGCGAGCGGGACCAGCTCGCAGCCGCCCGCGCCGCTCAGGAGCAGGTGGTCGTGGCTCTGGCCGGTGTGCGGGTCGAGCTGGACCAGGCCCGGGCCGACGGCGCGGCCAAGCTGGCGCGGGCCGTGGAGGACATGGAGCGCGAGCGGGCCGGGCTGCTGGCCACGCTCGACCAGCTCCGGCGCGAGAAGAAGGAGCTCGCCGAGTCCCAGCACGAGCGCGAGGCCGAGCTAGCCCGGCTTGCCGACGAAAAACAGGCGAGCGAGGAGGAACGCGCCAGGCTGCAGCGACTGCTCGACGAGGCCCGCGCGGCAGCGGCCGCAGCCGAAGGCGAGGGAGAAGCGGAGGAGAACGAGGAGGTGGCGCGCCTCCGAGCGGTGGTGGAGGAGGAGCGGAGCAGGCGGCGCGCGGTGGAGGACGAGCGGGGCGTGGCCGTGTCGCGCATCGAGGCCTTCAAGCGCGCGCAATCCGAACGGGACCAGGCCGAGCGCGAGCTGCGGGTGCAGCTGGACGAGCAGACCGAGGTGCAGGCCGCTCTTCGCAGCGAGGTGGCCCGACTGTCGGCCCTCGTGGCCCAGAGGGAAGAACCTGCCGTCGCCGCCGTCGAGGAGCAACAGCGAAGGGCCGGCGGCGAGCTCGAGCGATCGCAGGAGCGGCACGAGCTGCAGGAGGAGCTCGAGCAGCACAAGGGCATTCAGGCCTCGCTGCGGGGCGAGGTGGCGCGCCTGTCGGCCCTGGTCGAGGAGGAGCACGGCCTGCGCCGCGCCGCCGAGGAGGAACGCGACTCAGCCATTGCCTCGGCACGCGCTGCTGCCGCCGCCGCCGCCGCTACGTCGCAAGGCGAAGTGTCGTCCGAAGCGGAGCAGGTGGAGCGACTGCGGGAGCAGTTGGCCGAGCAGACGGGCCTGCAGTCCTCGCTGCGCGACGAGGTGGCCCGGCTCTCGGCCCTGGTCGACGAGCAGCACGGCCTGTTGCGTGCAGCCGATGACGAGAGGGACGCGGTTGCGGCGCGCGCGGCCGCCGCTTCGACCGTCGACCGACATGCGCAGGAGGAGCGCGAGCAGCTCGAGGAGCAGGCCAACGTGCAGGCGTCGCTGCGGGACGAGGTCGCACGGCTGTCGGCCCTGGTCGACGACCACCAGCAGCGCCTGCATGTTGCCGCCGATGAGGCGAAGGCCGAACGCGCACGAATTGAGCACGATATGCGCGAGAAGCTGGACGAGCAGGCCCACGTGCAGGCATCGCTGCGCGACGACGCGGCCCGCCTATCTGCGCAGGTCGAGGAGGAGCGTCAGCTGCGACAGACGGTCGAAGAGGAGTGCAACGCAGCCGTCGCTCGCGGCGAGTCGCAGGAGGAACGAGAGGTGCTGGCGCAGAGCCTGCGAGCGAGCCTCGCCGAGCAGGCCGAGGCGCGGGCGTCGCTGGAGAGCGAGGTCGCTCGCCTCACCGCCGCCCACACAGGACCGACGGAGCAGCTCGCAGCGCTGGAGACCGAAGTGGCCCGCCTGTCGGCGCTGGTCGAGGAGGAGCGGGGCAAGCGCCGAGCTGTGGAGGCCGAACGTGACGCGGTTGCCGGACGTTCGGCCGAACACGAGCGCGCACAGGCCGAGGAGCTGCGTGAGCGATTTGACGAGCAGAAGCGCGTCGAGACATCACTGCGGGACGAGGTGGCCCGGCTGTCGGCCCTCGTCCATGATCAAGAGCAGCAGCAGGTGACCGTAGCAACGGCGAACGCAGACGAAGAGGCGACATCGCTGCGCGACAATATTACGCGGCTGTCGGCGCAGGTCGAGGAGCGCAAGCTGCGGCAAGCAGTCGAAGAGGAGCGCAACGCGGCCATCGCGCGCGCCCCAGAGCTCAACGAGTCGCACGAGGAGCATGCGCTGCTGGCACAGGGCCTGCGGGCGAGCCTCGCCGAGCAGGCCGAGGCACAAGCGTCGCTGGAGCGCGAGGTCGCTCGCCTCACTGCGCTGGCAGCCGAGCACAGCACGGATCAGCAGCAGCTTAAGCCGTCGCTGCAAAGCGAAGTGGCGCGTCTGTCGGCGCTGGTCAAGGAGGAGCACGACAAGCGCAGAGCAGCGGAGGAGCGTGACGCCGTGGCCGAGCGCTCGGCCGAAGAGCTGCGCGAGCGGTTCGAGCAGCAGAAGAGCGTCGAGGCGGCGCTGCGGGACGAGGTCGCTCGGCTGTCGAGTGTCGTCGACGAAGAGCGGCGCCTGCGCCAAGCCGTCGAGGAGCAGCAGCAACAGCAGACCGTTGCGGCGAACGCCGACGCTCTGGAGCGCGACAATCTCACGCGGCTGTCGGCGCAGGTCGAGGAGGAGCGCCAGCTGCGGCAGACGGTCGAAGAGGAGCGCAACGCGGCCATCGCACGCGCCCGGGAGTTGGAAGAGTCGCGGGAGGAGCGAGAGGTGCTGGTGCAGAGCTTGCGGGCGAGTCTCGCCGAGCAGGCCGAGGCGCGGGCGTCGCTGGAGAGCGAGGTCGCTCGTCTCACCGCCGCCCTGGCCAAGGAATCCGAAGAATCTCAAACGCAGCATCAGCAGCGCGGGCACGATCCCAGTGAGCAGCACCTCGAGGAGTTGGCGCGACTCTCGGCTCTGCTCGATGATGAGCGCAGCAAGCGCCGGGCCGCTGAGGACGGTCAGGCGAAGGCCGACGAGGAGGCCGACGAGCTGCGCGGGAAGCTCGAAGAGCAGGCCAACGTGCAGGCGTCGCTGCGGGACGAGGTCACTCGGCTGTCGGCCCTGGTCGACGATCACCAGCAGCGCCTGCGTGTCGCCGCCGCTGAGCAACGGCAGCAGCGAGACGTGGCTACCACCGCCGCTGATGAGGCCCAGCAGACCGGACAGGAGGAACGCGCACGAATCGAGCACGATCTGCGCGAGAAGCTGGAGGAGCGTGAGGTGCTGGCGCAGGGCCTGCGGGCGAGCCTCGCCGAGCAGGCCGAGGCCCGGGAGTCGCTGGAGAGCGAGGTCGCTCGCCTCACCGCCGCCATGGTCGGCACGCACAGCACGGAGCAGCCGACCGAGGAGCAGCTCACGCCGTCGCTGCAAAGCGAAGTGGTCCGACTGTCAGCGCTGGTCGAGGACGAACAGAGCAAGCGCCGAGCTGCGGAAGCCGAGCGTGACGCCGTAGCCGCGCGTTCGGCCGAACACGAGCGCACGCAGGCCGAAGAGCTGCGCGGGCGGTTCGAGCAGCAGAAGGGCGTCGAGGAGGCGCTGCGGGACGAGGTTGCCCGGCTGTCGGCCGAAGAGCGGCGCCTGCGCCAAGCCGTCGAGGAGGAGGAGCAACAGCAGACCGTCACAGCGAACGCCGACGCTCTGGAGCGCGACGATCTCACGCGGCTGTCGGCGCAGGTCGAGGAGGAGCGCCAGCGGCGGCAGACGGTCGAAGAGGAGCGCAACGCGGCCGTCGCACGCGCCCGAGAGTTAGAGCAGGCGCGGGAGGAGCGAGAGGTGCTGGCGCAGGGCCTGCGGGCGAGTCTCGCTGAGCAGGCCGAGGCGCGGGCGTCGCTGGAGCGCGAGGTCGCTCGCCTCACCGCTGCCCTGGTAGAGGAATCCGAAGAGTCTCCGGCGCAGCAGCGGCGCGAGCACGAGCTCCTGCGCGGGAAGCTTGAAGAGCAGAGGAGCGTGCAGGCGTCGCTGCGTGGCGAGGTGGCCCGCCTGTCAGCCCAGCTCGAGGAGCAGGAGGGCCTGCGCCGTGCGGCCGAGGAACAACGTGACGCGGCCGCCGAGGCGCGCACTCGGGTTCATGAATTCGGAGAATCTCTGCGCGAGCGCGACCAGGTCGAGCACGAGCTGCGTGAGCGACTCGACGGGCAGACGCACATTCAGGCCTCGCTGCGAGTGGAGCTGGCCCGGCTCGCGGCCCTCGTCGAGGAGGAACAGCGGCTGCGGCGAGCGGCCGAAGAACAGCTGCGAAGCGGTGCGGCCCGTGAGGAATCTGAGGAATCCAAGGAATCTGAAGAACGGGCTGCGCGCGCGGAGGAGCGGGCGTGGCTCGTGCGCGAGTACGCGGGCGTGCAGGCCGCCCTGTTCGAGGCCGAGCGTCGGGCGGCCGACGCCGAGGAGCAGCTCCGACGCGTCGAAGCCGAGCTGGCCGACCGAGATCACCATCAACCACCGGCGGCGCACCTCTCTGCTGAGGTCCCGGCGGCCAGGGCCCAGAGCGAGCCGGAGCCCCAGGAGCAGCACGCCCGATCGCAGGCCGGCCGGCACGCGGCGGAGACCGACGACGAATGGGGCAGCGGCTGGGATGACTCCGACTGGGACGCCAGCAGCCAGAACGTCGATGCCGACAGCGACCACCAGGCCATGGATGGTGAGACGACGAGGGACGCCGAGCAGCTGCAGCGCGAGATCGAGGCGCTGAACGCTCGCGTGGCCGAGGCCGAGCGGCAGGAGGAGGCCGAGGAGCGTAACCGGTCAGAGCGACAGGGCCGCGGGGCCGAGCGCGGCGCCCATCGGCCGTCGGCCGAGCAGCCGGTGGTCGGCGTCGACGAGAGCGAAAGGGAAAGCGAGGAGCTGGAGCGGCTGCGGCGCGAGCGGAAGGCCAACGAAGAGGCGCTGCGCGAGGCCCTTCAGCGCATCGATCGCGAGTCCGAGGTCAACCAGCTGCGCGAGGAGCTCGCCGCGCGGGAGCACGACCTGCGGCGCGAGCAGCGCAAGCGCGAGGAATTCGAGGACGCAACAGCGAGGAGCGGGAGGCGGCCGAGGCCGACCTGCGCAGCGCCAGGGCCGAGCTCGAGGCGGCCCAGCGCGAGAAGGAATTCCTGGAACGCCAGTTCGAGCTGCTGGATAAGGAGCGCACAGACGACCAACGCCAGGCCACCGCGTCCGAGGAGGAGGTGGAGCGGCTGCGGCAGCGCGTGGAGGCCGGCGAGCGCGAGCAGGCGGCGCTGCGGCAGCAGCTCGAGGAGCTGAACGAAGCCAAGGAGCAGGCGGACAAGGAGAAGGCCTTCCTGGAGGGCCAGCTGGAGCTGGTGGTCATGCGCGACGAGATGCACCGCGAGCGCGAGCGGACTGAAGTTGCCGCACCGCCGCACGAGACCGACGAGCAGTTGCGAAGGACCGAAGAGGGGCGCGACCGTGCGGTGGCCAATGCACAGCGGCTGCACGACGAGCGGGAGACGCTCCAAGCCGAGCTGGAGGCGACACAAAGGGAGAAGGAGTTCCTGGAGCGGCAGCTGGAGCTGGTGGTCATGCGCGACGAGATGCACCGCGAGAAGGAGCGCATTGACGACCAACGCCAGGCCACGGTGGCTGCCGTTCCCACAAGCGAAGCGGAGGAGGTGGAGCGGCTGCGGCAGCGCGTAGAGGCCGGCGAGCGCGAGCAGGTGGCGCTGCGGCAACAGCTCGAGGAGCTGCTCGAAGCCAAGGAGCAGGTCGAGAAGGCCAAGGCGTTCCTGGAGCGGCAGCTGGAGCTGGTGGAGATGCGCGACGAGATGCACCGCGAACTCGAGCGGACCGAAGTCGCACCGGCGCCGCATGACGATCACGTCGAGCAGCTGCGAAGGGCCGAAGAGGAGCGCGACCGGGCGGTGGCCGACGCACAGCGGCTGCACGACGAGCGCGAGGCTCTCCAGGCCGAGCTGGCGGCGGCGCAACGGGAGAAGGAGTTCCTGGAACATCAGCTGGAGCTGGTGGTCATGCGCGACGAGATGCACCGCGAGAAGGAGCGCCTCGACGACCAACGCCAGGCCACTATTGCTGCTGCCGCCGTTCCCACAAGCGAAGCGGAGGAGGTGGAGCGGCTGCGGCAGCGCGTTGAGCATGGCGAGCGCGAGCAGGCGGCGCTGCGGGAACAGCTCCAGCAGCTCGCCGAAGCCAAGGAGCAGGCGGACAAGGCCAACGAGTTCCTGGAACGGCAGCTGGAGCTGGTGGAGATGCGCGACGAGATGCACCGCGAAAAGGAGCGCATTGACGACCAACGCCAGGCCACTGCGGCGGCCGCAGCGACTGAGGAGGCCGCAGCGACTGAGGAGGAGGAAGGAGAGATGGAGCGGCTGTGGCAGCGCGTGGAGGCCGGCGAGCGCGAGCAGGCGGCGCTTCTGGGACAGTTGGAAGTGCTCGAACGAGCGAAGGAGGAGCGCGATAGAGCGGTGGCCGAGGCGCAGCAGCTGCGCGACGAGCGGGCCGAGCTGGAGCAGGTGAAGGAGTTCGTGGAGCGGCAGTGCGAGCTGATGGCGAGCCGGGAGGACCTGCACCGGGAGCGCATGGAGGAGCTCGAGGCCGAGCTCAAGCACGCCAACGTCCCTGCCCACGCTCTGGAATTCGAGGAACGCATGGCACAGTTGCGGGCCGAGGCCGATCAGCGGGCGAGGGAGCTCGAGGAGGCGCAGGGCGAGCTGCAGCGCCGGCTGGCGGAGGAATCTCAAGCACGCGCGACGGAGAGGGAGGAGCTCGAGCGGAGCGTGGAGCAGCTGAGGTGCCGGGTTCAGGAGAGTGAGGTCGAGGCCGCGCGGCTCAGGGCCGAGGCCAAGCACCAGACGGGCGAAGGCGAGGCCGACGAGGCCGAACGACGGCAGCGGCAGAACCAACTGCGGCAGTGCGTGGAGGCCGGCGAGCGCGAGCAGACGGCGCTGAGAGAGCAGCTCAACGGGTCCAAGGAACAGGCGGAGAAGGAGCAGGCGGCGCTGAGGGAGCAGCTGGAGGAGCTGAACGAAGCCAAGCAGCAGGTCGAGAAGGAGAAGGCGTTCCTGGAGGGCCAACTGGAGCTGGTGGTCATACGCGACGAGATGCACCGCGAGCGCGAGCGGACCGAAGTCGCTGCGCCGCCACACGAGCACCAGTACCAGGAGCAGCTGCTTGCGTCGATCGAGGAACAGCGGCGAAAGGCCGAAGAGGAGCGCGACCAGGCGGTGGCCGACGCAAAGCGGCTGCACGACGAGCGGGAGGCCCTCCAGGCCGAGCTGGCGGCGGAGCAGCGGGAGAAGGAGTTCCTGGAGCGGCAGCTGGAGCTGGTGGAGATGCGCGACGAGATGCACCGCGAGAAGGAGCGCATTGACGACCAACGCCAGGCCACGGTGGCCGCTGCTGCTGCGGCCCAGGACGACGACGAGGAAGAGGTGGAGCGGCTGCGGCAGCGCGTGGAGGCCGGCGAGCGCGAGCAGGTGACGCTGAGGGACAGCTCGAGGAGCTGCGCGAAGCCAAGGAGCAGGCGGACAAGGCCAACGAGTTCCTGGAGCGGCAGCTGGAGCTGGTGGAGATGCGCGACGAGATGCACCGCGAACGCGAGCGGGCGGAGATTGCGGCCGAGCCCCAGCACGAGCAGCGGCTTGGCGCGCAGGACGGGCCAAGGAGGAGCGCCACAGGGCCTTAGAAGAGGAGCGCGACCGCGCGGTGGCCGACTCACAGCGGCTGCACGACGAGCGCGAGGCCCTTCAGACCGAGCTGGAAGCCACCCAGCAGGAGAAGGAGTTCCTGGAGCGGCAGCTGGAGCTGGTGGTCATGCGCGACGAGATGCACCGCGAGAAGGAGCGCCTCGACGACCAACGCCAGGCCACGGCGCCTGCGACTGCGACCCCTGAGCCCGCCACATCAGCGTCCCACGAAGAAGAGGAGGCGGAGGAGAAGGAGGAGGTGGAGCGGCTGTGGCAGCGCGTAGAGGCCGGCGAGCGCGAGCAGGTGGCGCTGCGGCAACAGCTCGAGGAGCTGGGCGAGGCCAAGGAGCAGGTCGAGAAGGCCAAGGCGTTCCTGGAGGGCCAGCTGGAGCTGGTGGAGATGCGCGACGAGATGCACCGCGAGCGCGAGCGGACCGAGGTCGCCGCGCCGTCACATGACAGTCACCACGAGCAGCTGCAAAGGGCCTCAGAAGAGGAGCGCGACCGGGCGGTGGCCGACGCACAGCGGCTTCACGACGAGCGGGAGGCCCTCCAGGCTGAGCTCGAAGCGACGCAGCGCGAAAAGGCGTTCCTCGAGCGACAATTGGAGCTAATGGTCATGCGCGACGAGATGCACCACGAACTCGAGCGAACCGAAGTCGCCGCGCCGCCACCTGAGGAGCACCAGCACCAGTACCAGCACCTCGAGCTGAAGGGGCAGCGACAAAGAACTGAGGCGGAGCGCGACCGAGCGGTGGCCGAGGCACAGCGGCTGCGCGAGGAGCGGGAGACGGTCGAGGGCGAGCTGCACCGTACCACTGCCGAGCTGGAGGCAGCGCAGCGGGAGAAGGAGTTCCTGGAGCGGCAGCTGGAGCTGGTGGTCATGCGCGACGAGATGCACCGCGAGAAGGAGCGCATTGACGACCAACGCCAGGCCACGGTGGCTGCCGCCGCCGCCGCCGCTGCCGTTCCCACAAGCGAAGCGGAGGAGGTGGAGCGGCTGCGGCAGCGCGTGGAGGTTGGCGAGCGCGAGCAGGCGGCGCTGAGGGAACAGCTCGAGGAGCTGCGCGAAGCCAAGGAGCAGGCGGACAAGGCCAACGAGTTCCTGGAGCGGCAGCTGGAGCTGGTGGAGATGCGCGACGAGATGCACCGCGAGAAGGAGCGCATCGACGACCAACGCCAGGCCACTGTGGCGACTGAGGAGGAGGAAGGAGAGATGGAGCGGCTGTGGCAGCGCGTGGAGGCCGGCGAGCGCGAGCAGGCGGCGCTGCTGGAGCAGTTGGAGGAGCTCGAACGAGCGAAGGAGGAGCGCGATCGAGCGGTGGCCGAGGCGCAGCAGCTGCGCGACGAGCGGGCCGAGCTGGAGCAGGTGAAGGAGTTTGTGGAGCGGCAGTGCGAGCTGATGGCGAGCCGGGAGGACCTGCACCGGGAGCGCATGGAAGAGCTCGAGGCCGAGCTCAAGCACGCCAACGCCCACGTCCAGCGATTGACCTCCGCCGCCGATCGCAGTCAGGAATGCGAAGTCTTTTCCCATGTCGAACTGCGGGAGACCATTGAGCGCCTGGAGCGCGAGCTCGACGAAGCGCGGGCAGCAGCAGCCGCCGCGGACGAGGCCGGGCGCCGAAGTGGAAGCGAAGAAGAGGAGCTGGAGAAGGCCAGGGCGCAGGCCGCGCGGCTGGCCAAGGAGAAGGCCGTGGTCGAGGAGGGCCTGATGCGGATGATGGACGCCAAGGAGCGCGCCGAGGAGCAGCGGGCGGCCATCGAAGACCGGCTCACCCACGTCGAGCAGGAGTTGGCCCGCGTCACGTCGGCCCAGCCCGCCGCCGCCGTTGGTGGTGCTGACCAGGAGCGCGACGGGCTGCTGATCGCAGCAGAGATGGAGCGGCTGGCCGCCGAGCGCGACGAACTCAGACGCGCGCTCGACGAACACGAGGCACGGGCGACGGAGCTCGTGGCGCAGGTGCAGCAGCTGCAGAACCAGCGCGAGGCCCGGAATGCCGAGCATGCTGATGACGTGGCACGACTGCGCAGTGAGGCCGACGCCACACTGGCCGACGCGCGCCGCGCCCACGACGAAGCGGTGGCCCAGCTGCGCGCCGGGCTCGAGGCCCAGTGGCTCGCACGCGAGCAGGAGCTGGTCCGGGTGCGCGCCGAGGGCGACGAGGGCGACGCTGCCGCCCGCTTGGTGGTGGCCGTGAGCCAGCGCCAGGCGGTCGAGGCCCAGCTGGTCGACCTCCAGGAGCGCGTGCGGGCCATAGATGCCCAGCTGGCGCAAACCACCGCGGCCAAGGCCGCTGCCGAATCCGAGCTCCACAACGCCCGGAATGCGTGGGATGAAGCCGAGCGCGGGTGGCGCAATGACGTGGCCCGGCTCGAGCGCGCCGTCGACGATGCCAGGAAGCAGCTGCAGAAGGCCGAGCAGGAAGTCGAGCGGCTCGAGGCGGAGAAGTCCGTGTTCGAGGAGGGCCTCATGAAGGTGGTCGAGGCGCGCGGGATCGAAGAAGACGCACGCGCACGGCTCGAGCGCGAGTTGGCCGACGCGCTCGAGCGCGTGCGACAGCTCGAGGAGGCTCTCGTGGCCCGCCAGTGCGAGCTGCACCAGCTTCAGCAGTCGGCCGCGGAGAAGCGCGCGAAGAGCGAAGCTGACAACGGCGACTGGCTCGAGGAGAAGGTTGGGCTCGAGAGCCAGCTCGAGCGCGCGCGGCTGCGCGAGGCCGATGCGGCGCGGGAGCGGGACGAGCTCGCCCAGCAGGCGCAGCGGATGATCGACGACCGGGTGGCCGAGATCGAGTCGCTCAAGCGCCAGGTCGAGGAGCTGCTCGCAGCCCGCCAGCCACAGCCCAACGGCGACGCTGTCGACGACCACCAGCAGCAGCCGAGCGCCGACGCTGACGGCGACGACCACGAGAAGCTGCGTGCGATCACGGACAGCCTGGTGGGCGTGGAGCGTGCAATGATGGAGGACGCGAGGCAGCAGGAGGCGCTCGAGGCCGAGCTCGAGGCGGCGCGCGAGGAGCTGCAGGAGGAGAAGCGGAGGAACCGGGCGCTTAAGGAGGCGCTTGACGAACACAGCCAGACGGACCAGGACGCAGAGGAGCGGAATGAAAAGGATGCGGAGGAGGCGGCGGCGCTGACTCGGGAATGCGAGGAATTGCGGCGCGAGAACGACGACCTCCGAAAGGAGCTGGACGAGGTCAAGCGGGAGGGCGAGGGCGAGTTGCAGCGCGAGCTGGTCGAGATGCGGCGGGAGAAGGAGGGCCTCCAGCGCGAGATCGTCAACGCCATGGTCCGCCTCGAGGAGCTCGACAAGGAACACAAGCACGCGCTCAAGGCCTTCAAGAACAACAAGAAAAAGAACGAAGACGATGAGAACGAACACGAAAAGGAAAGCGAAAGCGAAAGCGAAGACGAAAAGAGCGAAGACAACGAAGACAGGGAGGGACAGCACCGGACGCAGTTGGCGCGGGTCGAGCGCGAGCGGGACCATGAGCGCGAGCTGAGGGGTGCGGCCCAGGACCAGCTCCGGGAGGCCGCCGCGGTGCGGGAGCAGGACTTGCTCGCCCTCGAGCAGGTCAAGCGCGAGAACGACAACCTCATGGACATGCTCGAGGCCACCATCGTCCAGCGCGAGAGCCTCAAGTCCCTCGTGCGCGAGCTCCACCACCAGCAGCAGCACCAGCTCAGCTCGCCCGCCGCCCTGCAGCGACACGACCGCGACGACTGTGCGGTCGACACGCAGGCCATCACGCACGACGACAACGACCACGACCACGACGACGATGCGGTGCTGCTGCGCCGTGAGGTGGAGCGCCTGCAGGGCGAGAATGGGGCGCTGCTGCTGGCCGTGGCCCAGGCGCGGACGAACGAGGTGGTGCGGGACGCGCAGCGGCGGCAGGACGAGGAGACCGACGCCGAGGCGCTCGAGGTGCTGCAGGCTGATAAGCGGCGTCTCGCTGACCAACTGGCCGCCGCCCAGCAGCACGAGAGCGAGGCCGAGAAGAACGAGAAAAAGAGCGAAGGCGAAAAGAAGCAAAAGAGCGAAGACGACAAGGAAGACGAGGAGAACGAAGACGATAACGACGACGATGAACCGTTCGAGCGGCTGATCGAGGAGTGGGAGCGACAGGAGAGCGAGCGGGAGGCGGCGGAGAGGCGGCGGGTCGAGGAGCAGCTCGCCGCGCGCGACCGCGCCATCGAGGAGCTCGAGGCCCGCCTCACCTCTACCACCTCGGAGGTGCGCGCCCGGCTCGCCCTACGCCACGAAGAGCTCCGTCTCACCGAGTCCGCCCCCGACATCGCCGACGCCGACCACGACCACGACGACGTGCCCGAGCAGTCGACGACGGCTGTGGAAGGCGAGGCCAAGCGTGTTGCGTGGCTGCAGGAGAGGCAGGCCCTGGTCGACCAGATCAACGACCTGCAGACGGAGCTGATGCAGCTGCGCGCGCGGATCAAGCGCGCCGAGGAGCACGACGACCAGCGGACGGCGGAGCTGCTGGCCCTGCGCGAGCGGGAGACGGAGATGCAGGCCGAAATCAACGCCCGACGAGCGGCGCGCGTCGACGATGACTCGAAAAAGTGGAGGCGCAGGCTGGTGACCCGCGAGGCCGAGGTGGTCAAAGTGGTGGAGCGACGCCTGGCCTCGCTGAGCCCCCACAGTGCGGTGAGCCTGGGCAAGCTCGAAATGCTCCGCCGCGACGTCGCCGAGGCGCGCAAGGCGCTCGATCGCCGTCTGGCCGCCACCGCTAATGCTGCGGCTGACGACACCTTCGGCGACGAACAGCTGCAGTTCATCGGATCGCTCGAGACCATCGTCACTTCGCTATGTGACGTCATCGCCGAGGAGGAGACCAGCCCCAGCGGGCTCAAGGAGATCGACGACAACGACGATGACGATGACGAAGCGGAGGACTACTACGACGAGACGAGGACAAAGAAGGGCAGCCACGCGTCGCTCTCCGTCGTGCGGTCGAAGGTGGAGGAGATGATCCAGCGTCTGTCCACGGCGCATCTGCTCGAAGGCGCAGGCTCCGCTCCCGCCAAGCGACGCCACTGAGCACAGCGGCTACACATTTTTGTAAATTCAGAGCTGAGCACTGCCAATAGCACTGCATTTGAAAGCTAAGCCGGATGCAGAGGAGGAAAAAGGAGCTTCATCAGAAGGCTGGGCTTGGGTGCCTAACAGATCGACACCATGTGGCAAGAGTAGTTTACTGGGGTGCGACAACCCGTGAATCCGGCGTGCCCGCGCGGTCCACAACAGGTGTCGTGGGTTGATGCGGACGGGCGTCCGTTCACCATTCTTGGACGCAGACTCCTCGTTCTCCGTGAAGCAGTATCAAAGTAGGATTACAGTGGCCAGTTCTTCTGGCAACACGGCCCATAGAAGTGCTTGAACGCCGCGCTCTTAAGAAGAACTTGTACATCACACCCCATCACACTCCAGCGTGGGGCGCGAGTGCGCATGGTACTTAGGGATTTTTTTAAGAATTGATCTAAGGGCACAGAAAGTAAAGGCTGTCGGATACGGCCATACTGCGTAGAAAGCACCGCTTCCCATCCGAACAGCGAAGTTAAGCGACGCCAGGCGGTGTTAGTACTGGGGTGGGCGACCACCCGGGAATCCACCGTGCCCGTATCCTTTTTACCTCTTCGCACCCACAGCAGAGCTTGCACTCTTTCCCTTTACCGTCTTTCACGCGTGAGTAGCCCAAGTCTTGGAATCGCATCCACATGACTCTCCCGCCCAAGAACGAAGCGACGATGTCGGGACATTCATGTTGTTCTTGTTAGTGGTGCGAGGCGTACTTGACGTCCCACAACTCCTCGTCCAGGGAGAAGTAGTCGTCAAAGGTCTTGGCACCCAGGGCGAAGTCGGGCCGGGTGGGTGATGTGGGTTGGCCGTCGGCGTCGAAGCACTGGGCCTGGCCGGCGACCACCTGCCGCAGATCGTACCGCCACAAGCCCACAAAACGGGTGCCGTCTTCCCAGACCTGCACCCGCCCATCACATACGCACAACACTCACCGTCATCTACACTTTCGGTCGGCACTCGTGATCTTGTCGGGACGGACAGTACCATCTCGCCCTGGCCGTGCCGTTGGTTGCGTTCCCACTGTCCAGTGTAGCGACAGCCATTCGGCCAGACGTAGGTACCAACACCGTGCTTATTGCCATCTATTTTTAAAAGAATATATTATCAGCGGTGAACACGAACAAGAGTGTAACAAAAAAACGCACCTGACCACTCCCCATCGTATTTGCGGCCGTCACTCCATTGGTACACGCCTTGGCCGTCCTGCTGGGTGTCCTTCCACATACCACAAAACTTGTGCCCGTCGAACCACTCGTAGGTGCCTGAACCCGCGACACGGATTGTACAGAATGTGCTCAGTATTCAGGTGTTGGCGAGAGAGAGAGAGGAGAGAGCCGCACCGTAGCCGATCCTGTGGCCTTCCACCCATGTACCCTTGAAGGTCCCACTCTCTACCCATCGTTTCTCGCCTTGTCCGTGGGGTTTGCCATCTGCCCACTCACCGTCGTAGTAATCACCGTTTTTCTCGGTTTCTTTGCCAGACCTGAACAGAACAGAACAGCACCTTTGAGATCACAAGTGTGGCTTGCGTCAGGAAATCACACGGAGAGACACAATAACGGACCCGTGCTGGTTCCCTGCCTTGAACTCGCCCACATAGACAGCGCCCCATGCCTGGTAAAGTACACCACAGCCTGTGTACAATGCAATGCAGTGGTTTGGGGGACTGCACAGTCAGTTGCCATCCTCAGAAATAAAAAAAGACATAGAGATCAATCACACACACCATCGCGGAGGCCATCGACCATATCACCCTCGTAGGTGGTTACGGATTCGACTCGCCGCCCAACACCGGTGAAGGAGGCCGCCTTCTCCGGTGGTACTTCCTGCTCCTCACCAACATACGCATGGTATGGAAACAGTGCGGTGAGTTGCAAACCAGAAATCCCAATCATTGTGTCTAGCCACGCACCTGCTTGGAGCGATAGAGCCACTGCCAGCTTTTGTGGGGCGGCTTCACCAAGTCCGCTCCGCACTCTGGCAAAACCGAGGCTGGGTTCAGCCTCAACTCGGGCGAGAGATGACATTAAAAGAGGGAAAAAGAACAAAAGAAGGGGGGGGGTTGTACTGCACTCAACAAGCTGTCGCCAGAAGGCCTCGTCGTAGAGGGACAAAGTCGCCCAGCTTCGGCACGCCAGGGCGGCTGCGTAGAGGTCCGGTAGCGGGAGCCACCTGAGCACCTCTTGCCACATCTCCTCCGGCAACTTTTCTATGCCGTCGCTCTCACTACTCTCCTTGTCCATCGCCTCCCCTTCTTCGTCTTCTCTTCTTCTTCGAGTCGGAAAAACTGTTCTTTGTTTTTTGTCGACATACAGCTGCCTGGCTTGCGGCGTGAGAGCCTCAAGTCCCTCGTGCGCGAGCTCCGCCACCAGCAGCAGCAGCAGATCAGCTCGCCCGCCGCCCAGCAGCGACACGACCGCGACGACTGTGCAGTCGACACGCAGGCCATCACGCACGACGACAACGACCACGACCACGACGACGATGCGGTGCTGCAGTACTAACACCGCCTGGCGCAGCTTAACTTCGGCTGTTCGGGTGGGAAGCGGTGCTTTCTCCGCAGTATGGCCGTATCCGACATTCTTCACAAGCATTAAGCACTTCGCCAGTATCTGATCTTCGGTGTGGGACCACCTTGGTCTATCCCTCTATGGCTTTCAACTGCTCGTTGTGCCGGACCACAGCAATCAGCGTGATTCTCGCTAAGTGACGGAACACTGCTTGTGAGGTGATTTAGATGATACAAAAGCGACAGTCTACAACAAGGACGCTCCACGGCGTGGTTTGTATCTACTTGAGCTCGACCCCTGGCTCAAAGCCGAGCTGGGTCATGAAGTTCTGGAAGCCCTTCATGAACTCGCGTACGAAATCCTGCACAATGTCCTGCGGAGAAGGGTGAGAGCCAGGTCATTGCATGGCCTCTTTCTCCCCTACGAAGCGGAGCGGTACCGTTGGTATCCAGTTGTCAAAGTGCTCGTCCAGAGTCATCAGGTTCGCCTCCTCCGCCGCACGTTGCATCAGAAAGTAGAAGTCCTGGGTGCTCATTCCATACGCTCGCTTGACGTTCAGAATCTGAAGAGCATGATGTGAAGAAAGCGACCTTGTCAGCTTAGCGTCGATCAAGATATGACAACAACACGCGTGGATAACTGTTATTGCGAACCTTGTGGATGCTTCGCAATACTTCGGTGTTGAGGAACTTGACCTGCGGATGG